TTCGTCTGAATTGAAAATGGTAGATCTAAGAATATAAACATTTAGAGGGGTGCTGACAATGGTTATGGTGAAGCCAAATCTGTGTTGGAGTTGCTTAGCTAATCTTAGGAAAGATATTAGATGGCCCTCTGCCGGAAGTGGCAACATCACTATGACACTATATGATGCTGTGTACCTCCCTATTGTATGTAAATCTGCCTACTCTTGTTGGGGTGGATGGGTGCGTGGGGGTGTGTGTGTGTGTGGTGCTGGTGGTGAAGGGTTTAAATGTTAGGTTTGAAATAGCTAATGCTCGTCTTGAGGAATCTCTGTTGCCAATCAAAAGGGTTTGATTTGTGAATTATTAAAGGAAGGGAAAAAGAATAGAAAATTTGGTTCTCTAAATGCCTAAATTTGGCAGACTTGATTTTGTCTCTATATTTGATCTGATTTCTCTGTATTTGTCAATTTCCTAATTTGGCTTCACCATATTTGTCCGTTTTAGCTTTCACTACTCAAGTTTGAACTTGGGAAGAATCTCATGGCACATATGGCGCACAGTTAAAAAGTAAAAAATAGACTAAAGGCTCAAAAGTTCTTAATTTATAATATGTTGCTTCTAAAGTTATATTTGACGCAGAGGGTATTTTCTAACATAATGTAGCTTACTGCAATGCGTCTTTATAGCAGAGAAGACAGCAAACAACGCAATTCTTAAACTCCCTAGATGCAGTAAGCGGCATCTCCTGAGGCTGCGATGAACTAATGACCCACGCGAGGCTCAGTCTAGTCGCTATTCCTCACTAGGTGAGTTAAAGAATGCTCCTGCCTAAAAAGCGGATTGAAGATATATCATCATCATTTGTTGGAATCAAACTATTTGCAAGATTAGGGTCACAATTTGTATCGATTAAACAAATTATTGGAATTTCCAAAGTGAGACTCTCGCAAAGATCGTATATTCTTCGTGCTAATCAACGATAATTACACTATCGGGTAACTTTGTCATATATTTAATCCCGCCCAGATATGTTAGCAAGCAAGATAATTGCCTTTGTAGGAGTAGAAACTGTGGCCACTAAGATATTACAGCCTTTCAAATGGGAACTTGCCAATCAATGGGTATACCATGAAGTTACAAAGGTTGCATCTGTGAACCAACCTCCTAGAGCGAAATAGGCACGGTAAGAATAATGGACTGGACTAGCCTACAGAAACGAAACGATCCCTTCGTAACTAGTCATCCATAATATCAAATAAATCATTTTCTTCTTTGGTAAATTTACCAAGGGCTATAATCATAGTGATGCTCGTGCCTAAAATTTATATATCTCCTGTATGCTCGTAGAATTGTTCGTGATTAAGATTTGTGTTGATCCTCTGAGAGTCTAAGGGCTTGTATATGCAATAGCTCACACGATGAATGATTTTTCACAATGCATCTGGAGTTTATGAGAAAATTTGAAGGTGAAGAACAATTTTGCTCTAAAGCAGGTAGAATAATCGCGAGTGAAATCCAAATGTAGCAATTTGCTCTTGTTGCTGAGGTTGAACATGACAAATTTTGAATTATTAAATTTTCATCCTGATTTTAATCAATTATTGTTCCATTGTTGTCGTCATTTTTTACTTCATTTTCAATAATAAAAATTGATTTTAATCTTGTAAAAGGTGGAGTCAGACAGAGGCTAAATACAATGATAAATTACTATTATATTTTCATTACTACAAGTTTAAATCAATAGATTATTACAAAGTTTAACTATAAAATTTAAGCTATGTTTGAGCTCCATTTTTAGTAAAAAAGTGATTTCGTATTAGTGTTTTTTAGAGAGTGTGTGATTAAAAAGTAGGAAATTTTTTGAGTTTAATGTAAAATTATTTTATTGAAAAATGTGATTGAAAATAAATTTGAGGAAAAATGAATTTTTAATAATGGGATTATATAGGGGCTTAAACTTGCAAATTCAAATTTCTGAAATGGATAGGAAAAATACTATCACAATTAATCAGATTTCTAACAAAAATGAAAATTGACTATTTAATAACCGCGTGGTGAACTAATAATTAATATATTTTGAGTGAAATAAGTAATTTTTTCAAAAAAAATTGGGAGAGTCTTTCTTTTTTGATTTCAAATGATTTTTAACTATTAAAATTTAAACATTCATTTTAAAATGGCTTGATTTAATATGAAATCGAAACATTAATGGGTCCACATGGATTGAAACCAACGAATTCAAAATTGCAATTTCAATTCGATTCAAAAAATTGAGGGTTTTTTTTTTTGGGTTAAATTCTACTTTTTGTCGTAATAAACTAATTCAATATAATTGTATTAAATGCATTTATAGGTTATTCAACTTTGAGAGTTACATTTGTGTCACTCAATATCAATTTTCTATAGTCTGGTTCGTCCAACTTCAATTTATATGAATATTTGATCATTTTATCAAGCATCGTTATTTTAACTAACATAATATACTATTCAAATATTGAAACTAATAGAGAAATAGAGTGTAAAAACATGCTTTAGTTCATACATTTTTTTTTCGTAAAGTTTTTATCTTAAGTGAGTAATTTTATTGCATTAAATCCAAAAACCCAATAGAATATATTTTCTCAAAATTGTTTCTAAACTATTTTATATTATTACAGGCCAAAACCGAACCGTTATAAAATCCATTAAATCAAATCAAATGTCATAGTCCCACCACCCACTACTTGCGCATTCCTGTCTTGAAATACCATTCTTCTGCCAGCTCTGCTCCACCTCCCTCATCATTCACGCCCATCCCATTTCAATTTTCTCTTTCTAGATCCAAAAAACACATAATCTGAGATGGGTTCATCGTCGGAGGACGAGGGGGAGGAGTACTTGTTCAAAATTGTGATAGTGGGTGATTCAGCAGTTGGCAAATCAAATTTACTCTCTCGTTATGCGAGAAATGAGTTCAATATGCATTCGAAGGCCACCATTGGAGTCGAATTTCAGACCCAGTCGCTTGAATTTGATGGGAAAGAAGTTAAGGCACAGATTTGGGACACCGCCGGCCAAGAACGGTTCCGTGCTGTCACCTCTGCGTACTATCGCGGTGCCTTTGGTGCTCTTGTTGTTTATGATATTAGCAGAAGGTCTACTTTTGATAGCATCCCCCGTTGGCTTGATGAACTCAAGAGTACGTTTTTTCTCTCATAGAAGGAAAAAAAAAAAGGCTAATAATTGGCTGGATAAAAGGTTGAATTTTCATAGCAGTCTAGTTTTAATGGTACCTTGTGATTTATTGGCTGTGCTTTGATGGATTGATTCTCTGTGATGAAGTGGTTGCTTCAAAGCTATCGGGAAAGTACCTATACTATTTTGTTCTGCGGCCTATAACAAATTGGTTTATTTTGTTTTAAATTTGAAAAATTTACAACTAAAGGACAAGCTACAACCTCCACGATTCATGGTAACTCTTATAATTTTTATTTTGTGAGAAGTTTGCTCAATGGTATACCTTGACTAAAATTGGGAGTTTCATTTATGTCATTTGCAGTTGTCTAGTCATTTTATATGTTCTCATTTCATTTATATAAATATTTAAGTTTAGAAAGATTAGGGTGATAAAATCACAGGCAATGGTTAAGATTGGATTTGAGTTATATCTGATTTCAATATGATAAATGTGGGACATTATGATCATTAGGGTTCAATACATGTGATCCTTATTGGTGTTTTACTATTTAGGAAAAAAAGTGGAGAAGGCAATATGTTTAATGATTTAGCTGTTAGACAATCAAGAGTTTACCACTAGGGGTCTTCGCATTTGTGAATTTGGGAAGTGTTTGAATTCCATTTTACTTTTTGCTAATACCTTCTTTAGATCGTTGGTTTTACATAACTAAGAATGAATAATATATTTTGAAAGCTTTTAAAATGGAAATCATCCATCAAAGTGGGAAAAAGTTGTGATTATATTCTATTGGTGAATCTTTCGTGATTAAAGAGAACGTGTGAAGTGTGAGCTGTTGTCTGGCCTTGGGTAAGGCTCATGTTCCTCATCCTAAAGAGTGAGCAATGCAGGAAAACGAGTGCTACAAATTTTAAAGCCCAAGAAACGTGATATGGCTTAATGTTCTAGTTTTTAGAAATTTATGGTGCAAAATTTTTTCCCTCTACATGCAAGTCTATGGTAATGATTCTTAATTTTGCAGGATCTTCCCTCCTATGTGTTTTTAGACTTTTGGGTTAATAAATTGGTTTGCTGAAAATTGCGTAGTTAGTCCCCCACCTATGGACATTCTTTCAACTTGGTCTCCCACCTATTTTTCTTGACCACTTCTTTTCCAACCTATCAGTTGTGTGGTAACAATAGTCCCTAAAGCTCTTTTCCTGTTATTTTGACCGTTACCTATGCACATGCACCTCACATGTTTAGTTTTGAGGGGTAAATTGGTACACCGTGGTGATAAAAGAAAAAGATAAAGGAAAAGGAAAAGGAAAAGGAAAAGGAAAAGGAGAATGAATATGATAAAAAAATAAATAAAGGAAAAATGATAAAATTCTTAACAACTCCACCCCCAACCTTCCACCACTCACTGGCTCCTATACAATGTGATTTATTTACAGTTGTAAAGAAAACCTCTATTTCAGCTAGGTTCATTGGAGTTGGAATCAGCTATTCATAAGGTTTTTATAGTGGTCATGTATCTCTAAGCAAAAAGGCGTAACTGCATTTGACACTGATAGGCCTTCCTTCCATAATATTCTGTTGTTGAGAAACTTAGCTTTAGGAACTTTTCAAGTCCATATGAACCAATTTGTTGTTTCTTGCGATCGTGGAGCTATATAGGAGTCTGGATTCTAGACATATAAGTTCATCAACCCCAAAATATGTGATGTCTTGATGATGAGTATTCATCAGGAGTGTGGTTAGTGAGCCTTTGAATGGATCTAGTTCCCCTAATGTCCAATTTAGAACTTCAAAAGATGTGTTTCATTTGTGCTACTTTGGGTGACAGTGTACTGCAACCTCTTAGATTGGTTATCTTTGATAATTGTAGACCCCTTTCAAGACATTAGTGATTGTTTAATAAATTAGATACTAAGATTTTCGGAAAGGAGTTATTGTCCTATTGGTTAGACATAAGCTATGGGACATCAACTAAAATGCATGTACATTATACATTTTTCGCCACTCTATTCAGTTCATATGTTAAATCTACTAGAACCTCTAGAGTAACTTTGTCCTTATCTATTACAACATGCTATATAAGTTTTGGTATACCTTTCTAACTTGTTCTACCAAGATTACGTCACTCTTATTAACAGTTCCTCTTTTATTGTATGCGCAAAACATGCCTCTACCACCTAAGTCGGCACCACCTCCACTATGCAATATATCTTGATTCCTGATTCTTCTTTCTCAAAATTTTTTTGTATTATATGCTTCTTGAAAATTATTTCATTATGGTATTTTCCAGTTTTACGTTTGTACTCATCCCAAATTACATTATATTATTGCCTCATGAAGTTCGACTAAAAAGCCCTCATATGCAGCTCATTCTGATACAACCGTTGCAAGGATGCTTGTTGGGAATAAGTGTGACTTAGAAAGCATTAGGGATGTGAGTATGGACGAGGGCAAACGCCTTGCGGAATCTGAAGGATTGTTTTTTATTGAGACATCTGCATTGGATTCGACAAATGTTAAAAAGGCTTTTGAAATTGTTATCCGAGAAATTTATAACAACGTCAGCAGAAAGGTCTTGAATTCGGATTCCTACAAAGCAGAATTATCAGTCAACAGAGTTTCCCTTGCTAATGACGGCTCAAATGGATCAAAGCAGACTCAGGGATTCTATTCTTGTTGTTCCAGGTGACTCAAATACTATATTATTCTCAAATGTGTACAAGTGAAGGCCTGTCTTATTGGTGGTTTTAATTTATTGATTTTATTGGTCTATTTCTTTCTGAATTTGTTATTTATAGAACGATTCCGTAATGACGGGGAAGATGGTATATCACAGTTCTACCAAAGTAATTGTTCTCAAAAGTACTGGGGAAATGTTATTAAACTCATTTTTCTAAAAATGTAAATCACACAATTGAAGACTGTATGGTTTTCTGATTGTAGATTGACTTTGTTGGTTGATTTTCAGTTGCTGTTATCGTTTTTTACGTTTGTGTATTATCCTGTTTCGTTTTTTCACATTCGGTCAGGCACTAACCTTTAGATAAGAAGCCCCGACTTTTGGATTTGTAGGCTGAACTCTCTTTCATGTACTTCCCTGAGGGTAAAAACTGGAAAAGTGGTGAAGAATAAGCCCGTGGAACCGAAGAATGATAAATTGCGTTGGAAAGTCGAGCTGTGGGATACAAAAGTTCCATTGCTTCATTAATCAAGGATTTGACGCCGAAAAGTATCATTTTCTTTTGCTCGAGTGATAATCTAGCATAACACATCAACTATTAGAATATTAATTTAAGACACAGCTTTAGGTACATGTAAAGCTTTAATGCAACTTAATATTTCCTAGTGTTGGGCCATTGAAGGTCAAAATATTCATAAGATGAACGTAGTGGAAATGAGGACTGTGTGATGGATATGTGGTAGCACTAAAATGGATTAGGTAAGAAATGATAATATACATTAACTAGTAGAGGTCGCAGTGATAGGTTGATAAATTTGGGGAACGTCGACTTGGGTAGTTGTGATATATACTGCATAGAACTAAAGAGAAGGCTTAGCACGTTATAGTTGCTAAAGGTTTTATTGCCTTAGATCTTCGATTGAGCTAAGGGACCCTTGACAGAGGGATCAAATAACTGGTGGCCTAGTTCAAGAAAGTAGAGAAAAAAAAGAGAACATGTTGAGCGCTTGGATTCAAACAAGATATTAACACAAAATTGATATTGTATGTCCAACTTAGAGTAAATAATTAAAATGCCTTTAATGTTAGAATTCTCTCCTTTTATTCTTCACGTTATTTTCCACCACCTTCCTCTTTCATTTCGTCTCTTTTTTTTTTTTTCTTTTTTCACAAAATAAATTGTCCTTTCGTTTTCATAGTTCACCATTTCCTCATTATCTTGTTTTTCTGTTTGGGTTTTTTGGAAGAGGAGATTCTTGAATCTAAGAATGAGTTTTGTTATACAGAGTTTGCCTCGATTTGGTAACGCTCTTGCAGCCCGCACTGAAACAATGCTTTAGCCCTAGATCTCTAATCAACTATTGTGCATCAATGCATTTCGTTGGAATAGTTTAGTAAATATGGAAATTAGAATAATCTATAAATATCTTTATTTTTCTCAATCTCTTCTCAACAACTAAGAGATCTATTTGAGGAACGGGGGGACTAGTTGAATGGGGAGGGCAATACTTCAATTGAGATAATATAAAATCATTTCACCTTTTAGTTGGAACTTTAAACCGTTCTCGAGAAAAGATAGGTGTAAATTTCTCAATTCAAAAGATTTTCTGCAAAATATGCACTAATCTATAGTGTGTGACTCCTAATGTGTAATTTGTAATTTTTTTAAGCAAAACGTCAATACAGCCTCCGGGGATTTTCAGACTACACCAAGGAAGAGTAACGGGATTTGGATTACCCGATCATATATGAAATCAAACTCAGGGAAACAAGTGGAAGAGTGCATAAACTTGAAATCAAACTCAGGGAAACAAGTGGAAGAGTGCATAAACTTGACTTCCCAAAAGCAAACAATGCAACATATGAAAGAATGAAATAAATGGGGAAGTACTACTTCCTATACATAGAAAGCTCGTAAGAAGCAAACTAAATATCCTCTAATATTAGGAAGTCCATGTCTGTTAATCCATACAAGAGCTTGAAATTGTCATGGTGAAGAGGTCCATGCTCGTGATACCGGCGTTGGTCTCAATCGTCGGATGTAAGTGAATCGACAACCTGATTATTATCATGGTAAGTGTGTGAAACAGTATCACGGTCAAATGAGATAATGTGTGTCTTATCTATCTATGAATGATCCGGATCGCCCATGGTCTTCTACCCCTTTTGATGCAGTGAATGGCTATAGACAAGTTTGCTTCCACCCAGATGTGTGATAATCCAAGTCTTCGAGCAAGTAAAATCCCATCTCAACCTCCTGAATAAGACACTCCATATGATGACCAGAAAGCCCTAATGCAGTGTCTATTCTGGTCTTGAATAATATCCCACTATTAGCAAAATCATCCTTGACGCATACATCAATGTGGATCTTTAAGATCCCATCAGTGGAGTACGTCAAAGAACTAATATAGGAGATACTGGGAGAGGGAAAGTCGAAGAAATACCAAAAAGTGAGGTGATAACAAAGTCAACACTCCAATGAACGAGCCAAAATAAACGACCTGTATGGAGAAGTAAAATCAGTGGTAGACTCTTCAAATGATCCGTCATATCTCCTTATGCTTCTTATTATTCCTTTCAGTCCGTAAGAACCAATAAATCAATAGAGGAATGATAATGTGATTATGTCCATCCCGAACATACTGGCCCAAATATCTTTTTACTGGAACCAATGTCTAACTCCCTTAGCTGATCTCATAGGTACCTGAAAGATTATCTTCAAAATGATGCCATACCTGATCAGAAATGGTGCTGCACGTGAAAATGTGTGTAATTTGTAACATAATGCTAAGTAATTTTCAAAATTCATGAACCAGTAGATAAACTTGATTAATC